GTATCTGTATCTGTATCTGTATCTGTATCTGTATCTGTATCTGTATCTGTATATTCACAGCTTCAATTTTCTATGTTAAACAAACTCTATAGACCAAACACAGCATAATCAAAGTTGTAGTCAAGACCAGTCTATGTAAAGTGCAGGATACCTTGATATCAATGGGTTCAGAGTATAAATATATTCAACATTTCAAGAATCCACCTACACAAACAGACAAAAGGGCAAAGAGGCACTCACAAATACTAGATGGACCTTGCATAAAAGCCAATAAGCTCGTCTACGAAACTCTTCTAAGCAAACAATTGACAAGGCAGGCTGCATGTTGTTCCTGTTGAATTTGCATTCATTGCAAATGGTCGTAATGTGCAAGCTATGCTGATTTATAAAAATCAACAGACATAAGGCAGCTGTCCACTCAGACGTAAACATAAAAAACCGCAAGCTATTTGACTCAATTTGCGATAAAAATAAAAAATTGAAAATATGTTCGAAGCAGTCAAGAGTATTAATGGCTTTCTAGACCGAAACGTGGATTTGTATGAGGTTTTTTTAGCCATCTTCTTTTATTTGGATTTTATTTTTTTATATCTATAGTTACATATATACACGTATATATATAAGAGATAGCCGTGTGTCTTAAAGAAACAATTTCAATTTCACAAACGGCGCCCACAACAAATTTCCTGGAGGGCATAAAAAAAAAAGCGCTACAGCAAATCCCCTTTATGAGCAACGCCCAAATCTCGTCCCGTTTTTTGTTTCGATTGTGTTTAAGCGCTTTGAATTTAACGGAACGGAATATTTTTTATTGTTTAACTTGGCACAAATCACTTGACAACTATAGAATATTTAATATATTATTATTTTTCTTTTTTTTTTGGTTTATTTATTTTGGTTTGTTTGTATTTATTTTGTTGTTATTACAATTTGATGGCATGCACAACGAAATTAGCATATCCTTTGCACGGCAAAACTTTCGTTAGAATATGAAATCTAAATAGTTTGCGCTTTCACATGGTATATTACACGCAAGTCGACTTGATTTTCTTTTAGGTTTTCGTTTTTTGTTGCCTGTTGGTTTTGGGCTACATCTATAAACGCCTCTGCGATTCGACTTGCAGTACGACGTTAAGATGTTCGTTGTTCCGTTGTTGTTCAAGCGTTTTATTTCAGCCGGAGCGTGTTTTGGTTGGGAACGTCAAGACGGCGTTACACTTCGTTTATGACTGTCCATCTACAGGCAGCCAAATCAGTTGGATTGTTGAATTTGAATTGTTGTTGACTTGCCGAACTCATCAAAACAGCGAAATCTCTGCCGATGCCTCGGTTACACGCTCGGCTCACGACTGGGGTAGGTTGGAGCAACAGAAAGCTTCATTCGTTGAGTTTGTCTTGGGTTGAGTTTCGGTACTCCGAATGGGCTAGGGGTCGTGTGGTGAGTAATTTAGGTATAAAGTCGGTAGAGCAGTGTATTTAAAGGGGCGTAAAGGTGTTTTTTTATACATTTTATTTTGTGAAGTTAATTTAAATTACATTTCCCAACTAAGACTTCTGTCAGCTCGTAAAATATTTTAGGTTGCAAATGAATTATTCATATAATTAAAAATGTTTATATTTCTGCTCTCAAGGAAAATTAAAAGTATTTTAAAAATCTATATTACAAATAAGTTTTATTAATAATATTTAAATTTTTATTTGTGATTAATTCTTTCAAATAAAATTGCGAAGCAGTCTACGCAGCTTATACTGTTAATTTTATAAGTTAAATCAACCAACTTATACTTATAACAGCTACAAACTGCCCATAGATGGCGCCACTGGCAGTACGCATAAATGTTATGCCTTTACGCACTGCTTACAGAGCGCACTCAGATATCTCTCTCTCTTTCTGTCTCTCTAATACATGCTCTCGATTTAGGCCAAATCTCCACCTGGTGCTGTTGTGAATTTTGTGTTATCAGAAATGCTTGGATGCTGGTCGGTGGCAGACGTCCTTCGTCCTTGACAGAGTTTGACCGCAGGCGAATGCCAGTCAGTTCGCTGCAAATAGTTTAAAGTGCGAAAACGTCTCGGTTGAATGAAAAAATTTAAAGTTTTGCTCACAATATACATACACACGGTGGCCAAGGCACGAAACGTGAAAAGAATCAAACAAAAGCGAATATCGGCCAAGTCTTAGTTTGTTTTTTATATATATTTTTTTATAATTAAGACAAAGCAGCTAACAAAAGACAACTGAAGCATTCTAATGAATACCTAAGTATACACACACACATACACATACACACTCGCACACTTATCCACATAAACGTGAAAAGAAAAGTTGTTTTAGGTCAAACAAAAGAACAAAAAATAATTAAAAGAAAACTCCAAACGTTAGCAAAAAAATCGGACAAAATGAAAATCTGTTGGAAAAGCGTTTAAGGTCGCCCAAGAAAATTAAGAATCAATTAAAGCTGAGACGCGTAAGTAATTAATTATGCATTATTTGTGCGTGTATATGTATGTGTATATGTGCGTGTGTGTGTGTGTGTTGTGATTCCATGTTGTTGACAGTTATGTAAAGGTACGAGTGTCTAGAAAATGGCTGGCACTCTGGCTACACTTATATCTCGTTCAATTTGCAGGTGTCTACAGAGCTCAAAGTGTCAGTCAGTCCGTCAGTCAGTCAGTCAGGCAGCTGCATGAAAAGCTTGTTATCAGATCCTTCAGCTGGCATCAGGCGCTCGCCTCCAGTTGGGATTTGTACTAATTGTGCGGATGCCTTGCCTACACTGTGTGCATGTGTGTGTGCGAGTGTGTGTGTATATGTGCATGTGTTTGTGTTTTCCTACAAGTGGCTGCTGTTGTTGTTCTATAAGATCTGTTTGCAGCTATACTTGGCTTCTTGGCACTGACATTGTTGTTGTTATTGTTGACTCTTGTCTTGTTGTGTGCACAATTAGACTTACATGGCGCATACTTGAACTGTACTCTCTCTCTAAACAGCCCCAAGTCACACATAGATGACCTCACTGTACAGTACACAAACAACAGGTGGATGTGGCAAGTCTTAACAATTGTTTACTATTGGAAACCCTCTAGTGTCTAGAATTTGTGTTTTTTAGTGCTGCCGAGAGAATAAGAGATTCCTATTCATTTAAAGCTATGAGAAAAGGGCTGACTATTCTGTTGTACCAACTATGTGTATGACCTGTAACAATTAGGAGTGCTATAAGTCATGTGAGAATAGGGAATTTTAATTAAAGTATGGGGATGTATCCTAAGGGAAGAGATTGGAAATATGTAAGGAAGAGCTCAGGGCACTTATAAAAGGAAATGATTAGGAAAGTTATATAGGAATACAGGAAACAGAAAAGATAAGCTACTTATGTAGAAAATATAGTTATGTATATACATAACCAGCCATTATGTATATACATATATATTCATAATATATGAAAAAGATAAAGTTTCAGACAAAAAGAATAGTATACTTCACCTTCATTTCCTTACTGTGCGAGATCTCAGGCTGCTTATAGTAATCTTAGGGGTTTTGGCTAAATTTAAATATGATTAGAGAAACTAGATTGTATATACCAAATTGTTAACATAAAAGCAAAGTTCTTCGTGTTTAGCTTAAATTTTATCTCATGAAATCCTTTAATGGTATATGAATGCTTCTATATCACAGTAGAAACTATTTAATAAAAATAATTATTTGATAGTTCACTCATATATATTACTCGAAATACTACAATTTAAGTAAATTTATTATTATGTTCTCATATTTATTATAATTTATATTACAATTCAAATGCAATTTTATAGACTATCAATATTATTCCTAAGTTTTAGGTTACCTTCTTTGCCATTCGAGTTGACATGCTTTACCATCTAAAATTGCTTGGCAAACAATGTGGCAATCAGGTGCCACATTCAGAGATTCTTACCTAACTAATGGCTGGTTTTGTTGTTTGTCCTGCAGCGTTGCATCCGTTGATGAGGAGCTGGTGGTGCTGTGCTATAAATACACCACAGGGCGAGACGTCAATGTGGCTGTAAGAATGCCATCGCGTCGCAGCGGTGGTGTTGGCACCACACGGCGCAAGCACTCGCTGGGCAACCTAAGACGCGCCCATCCGGCCTCGGGCGCCACATGGAATGTGCAGGTGGTGCGCGGCAAGATGTCCTCGAAGTGCTTGTGGCACGCGTGTCGGGCGCTAATCCTCGGCCTGGCCTTGATGCTGGTGGGCGCCGGCATGGCCACGCTCGGCTACTATGCGGATCATCTGTCGATGGGCTCCGAGCTGCGCGGCAATGTGACGGTGCGCGTGAAGAACGATCTGAAGGGCTTCCATTTGAACAATTTCGCCTATGTGGGACCCATTGTGATGGGCTTTGGCGGCTTCATTGTGGTGGCCTCCTGTGTGATGACCTTTGAGGCGCGAGACTCGGCGGCTAAGGTGGTGCCAGCAAGACTACGTGCCGGCACCGGTAGCTGCAATAAAACAACAACACGCAGCAACCAGGGCAGCTCCGCCTCCCAGCGACGAGGCATGGGTAAGTCCTGGATGTGACTTTGAGGCTGCCACTGCTGCTCATGGCTATCATTTTGTGCAGGTGCTCAGTATCAGTCGACGCGTTGGGATCAGCATTTCGGCGTCTTTCGCTCCTCGCCTGGCGACCCACATCAGCAGCTGCAGGCGGTGGCTGGTGCACCGAGCTCTGGTCAAACGCAGGCGCAGCCCTTCGATCGCGAAGCTCTCACCGCTGAGCTGATCAACTTCTCCAAGTCCCTCAGGTACTTAACGCTAAATGCTGCTGTAAATAGAATTTGTTAACCATTTGACATTCATGGAAGCATCGCATTGTGTAAATTTTGTATATAAGAAATTTGTAAATACTCGCGATTGGCTGCCTCATTGCATATCTCTTTCTCTCTCACACGCACACATGCACACACACACACACACACATACACTCTCTCTCTCTTTCTCTGTTTCTGTCTGCTTTTGCATCCCATCATTAGCGCATCCGCACGCTTCTCGCCAAAGCTGCGTCGCCTCACGTTCACAGGTTCCGTGCCCGATTTGTCCACCATCCATGCAAACGCTCATCCAAACGCCTGCCTCGACACTAATCACTCCAATCTGTTCATGCCGCTGGAACAACAATTGCAACTGCAACAACTACAACAATTGCAACAATTGCACCTGCAACAACAACAACAACAACAATACTGTTGCAAACGGCATCATCATCATCATCGCCATCACCAACACAAACAACGCAAACAACAACAATCCTGCTCGAGCAGCAGCGTTCGTCGTGTGCGTCCAAGCCGCAACGCGTCGGGCAGTGGTTCAGTGGGCTTGGCTGGGGGCATTGGCGGTGCCGGTGGCTCCAATGCACGCTTCATCAGCAACTCATCCAGCTTGATCCAGCGCGCTACCAGGGAGCACTCCACCTGTACTTTGCTGCAGCCGCCTGCAGCGAGTCGCGTCTACTGGCAGGCCTCGTCCTTTGACGCCGGCATTGCGGCCACCCACAGCTTGACGGGCAGCGAGAAGCGCGCAGAGCGTAATAAGCGTTCGGATACGGCCAAGCGACATGTGCTTGCGCGCCAGCGACCCATCGAGCACGAGGAGGCGGCGCGGGATCGTTGCAGTCCGCTGGGACACAGGCGGTAAGTGCAGCCTACAACACTATATACACTATGCTAGGGCTGACCAACACTGTTAGTTGCTTTAAATTATAAAGTAAAGAAGCTGTAAAAGTCCAACAAAAGCTGCTAACTCTCTGTTGCCCATTATATTTCTTCTCCTTCAACTTTTCCTGCCATCCCCTTTTCCAGCAACTCTACCATGTCGGATTCTTCGTACAGCGGCCGCTGGACGGCACGTTGTGCTTCGGTGGCGAGTCGCACCTCGAGCATTGATTCACGGCGCGTTCAGGTGGATCTGCACAGTCCGGAAGTGATGCCCAAGTCGATACTGCGCTCGCCCAAGCGCTACAGTTCCGGTCCCTCGGCAACGCCATCCGTTGATAAGGAGTTCCGGTAAGTGTTGCATTCTAATCATCATCATAATCATCATCACACACACAAAAGACTTGCCTAACTGTCTGCTCAACTATGCACAACAGCAGCCAATTGTCTGTGTGCTCAGAGCCGCCTCCCCCTGTGCGTCAGCTGTCTGGACAATCGAGCATGGAGCCGGCTGTGCCGGAGGAGAGTGTGGAGATAATCGATGAGCGTATGCCCATGGAGTGCGTCAGCAACAGCAACAACAACAGCCTGTGCAACGTCTCCTACAACGAGATAACGGAGCTGGTGCATCACACACACAGCTTGCCGACAAAGAAACCACGGCCCGACTTTCTGCCACTGGACAGCAACGCAGATCCGAAGCAGCATCAAGAGCAAGAACAACAACAGCAGCAGCAGCAGAAATCCAATCCAGCGACGCTCTATAGAAGCAACAGCTCTAGGCAGTTCTATCGACCGAAGCCGGCCATTGCCAAGGACCGGGATGATTCGGTATTCTACATACGCTCGTTGGAGCGCGGCGGCAGCTCTGCGAGCAACGATGAGCACATGTACGACTCGTTGAAGGTCATCAATGAGCGCCGTTCCACGCTTCTCAAGGCGGATTCACAGAGCTCGCTGGGGTCCGCGGAGCGTAAGCTGAGCAGTTTCTCGCTCAAAATGCCAGACATAACGGAGCGCGAGAATTCAATAGATATAGAGGAGGGACCTCCGCCGCCTCTTCCGCCACCTCCGATCACAACTCAGCCCAAGTTGGCTGAAGACTCACCAAGAGAAGAGCTTGAGCAAATCCAAAACCAAACCTAAACAAATCGAGATTAATGTAGATAATTATAAATGTGTCTGCTGTATTGATAAGGTGTATTGAATATGTAGTGACCGCTAGCCAACGACAGTTACTTTAGCACAGATCTATTATTATGTAATGTTTGACGATAGAAGCGATTTTTGATAAAAAATGCAATCCAAATTGGGACACCGAAAATTGAATTTAAGTTTAGCATAGAAACCGTCTAAATACGATCTCAACAAAACTACAAATTCTTCCCTTCGTTTTCTATGAAAAAATACCTAAAAAGAGTGTTAGCTGTGTTATATAACGATTCTAACTAACTACGTATTGTTATCTGTGTTGCCCTAGGCGTTAATCGATGTATTGAAGAACATAAAGAACAAGCAAATAATAACTATTTTATATGTCTATGTGTTAAATTGTTAATGAACTTAAGAGGGAGTTAGAGTCGATAAATATTATATTGCTATAGTTTCGATGAGCTTTTAATAAGTAAGCTCCATAAATCTATATTCTGTTTCCCGTTTCCTGTTTCCTCTATGTAAACTATCTAAGATAAATTTCATGGAATAGCTATTCGAAATTGTATATAAGATACTATGTAATAATGCAATCAGCTTACAAGCGAAGACTGATGTTTCGTACATTTATGTTCTATACGAAGTTCTCAAAGGAAAATGTCAATTTTTGTTCAAATACAATGAAAAGCAATAAGGAATTAGAAAAGTAATATATAAAGCACGGAGTGCATATGTGGGCAACGAAAAGCTGATCATAATTGCAAGGAAAATATGAACATATTATGTTAAAAAAAAAAAGTGTTCCACAAAACCCGAATATCACCAAAACTCTTGGTTTTCTACAGCTTCAAAGCCGAAATATAAAATAAATCAAACAGAAAAGAACTTTCATCCGAAGTAATTTCCACCAACGTAATTATTGATAATCATATATAACAATTATGTGAAATATATATATATAAATATATATATATATATATATATAATACTTATACACACATAAATATGTATTTTATATCTGAGTGTTAATTTATAAAACAAATTCGAACACAAACAAAATGTTTCTTAATCCATGTTTCTTATGAATGTGTTGAGTAAAACAAAACAAAATGCAAAACTTATTTATGAAGGAATTTGTACTTATGAAAAAAAAAAACCAAACAAAAAATGAAAACAAGAAAAAAACAGTAAGCAAAAGTTTAAAAATGTTATATGTACTCATTATTGATGTGCAACAAGTTTTATATCAACTGTTTATTGCATGAGACATCCACATTCATTAGAGATGCAAACAAATATTTATATTAATAAAAGGAATTATATATGTGTGTTAAAACTGATTTTATCTGTATTGATTTAGACATCAAAGTATATAGTTTGATAAATTGATTTTTCAATGCGTGTTTTTTATTACAAATTTTTCTAACGGACTTTTTAATTCGTTAAGTGTGGAGTATATTTTTATATAAGTGTTAGCGGTGGAGCAGGCTGGGCTGCGGTTGGGTGTGGAGTGATTCTGTTATTTAACATAGCGCTGGTAAACGCAATGTTAATTTGCACCACAAATTGTTGTCTCTGCCATACACACAATTTCGCGGAATTCATAGTTAATAGCAATCGACGATCTACGACCAGACTTGGCCAAGTCTGGAATTAAAGAAACAATCTGCCCAGCACGCTTCCCCTTCCGTAGCATATAAGCAAATATCGACAAAATGGTAATTGGGTAAGTTACAGCACATTGGCTTAGCGAAAATTACGTAACCTTCAAGCTAATCATTTGATTATTGTTTGTATTTTTCTGCAGACTCTTGATACGCGGTGGCCTGGTCGCTGGCGCTGTCTACTATACCCGCCGAGCTGGCGTCTGGGGCAATACGGAGCAAACGGATAAACTCTACAACGATGTCAAGGATCAGCTGAGGCCATATGTACAGAAGGCCAAGAAGCAGCTGCCGTTCGAGCTGCCACAGTTGCCCCGAGTGGGCGAAATGCGCTTCCTGGCCAAACACTATTACAACGAGGGCGTCAAGAGCTCATTCCGATTTGTTCACATGTTGCCCTGCTATGCGGGCCGAGGCCTGAAGAAGGCGAAGGATACATTTGAAGAATTCGCCAAGTCACCAGCAATTGCGGCCAGCGAACACCAACAGCAGGTGCAGCCAGCATCAAAGTAGTCCAAGTTGTGCTTTCCTGAGCCATTCGATAGAAGGCTGTTTTCATGTTAGTTCGTAGTTAGTCTATTGAATACACTATGTTTGTGTAACACTTTCCCACGAAACCAACTGTCAGAGCAGCTGCTGGCTCTGCTGGGAAAATCGATCATGTCAAGAGCAAAAGTTTTGCTATAAAATACTACTTATTTACCTCTAATTGTGGAATACTTAAGCGTATGTCGTTCGATCTTTTATGCTAGTAATAAACGATATTATGTTAAAACAGTGAAAAGCGCCTAAACAAAACGTATTAATTATGACTTAATTTAAACTTTATTAAACAACAATTTCTTAACAGTTAATATAGGTATATTTACATTTATATATATGTGAGTTTTCAAATTGTAAATCTGTACGTGTTCGCCACGTGATAAACTTGTATTATTTAAACTGTTTTATGATAGCATTTCACGTTCGCTTAAACAGCAGATAAAAAAGTCTGAGACATTGTTTCTGATTTACAACAAAGAAATGTACAGAAAAATCATTTATTTGGCTTACAAATATATATATAATTATATAGTATCTGACTGGAGACATACAATAGTATCATGGTAGAGCAAGGTAAATCCCATGTGGTATCTAGAGGAAAATAATTACTCATAAGTCATTAAAGATATCGCCACAAAAAATTTAATTATTCATATATTTTAATAGAGAGATAATGCCGATGAATAATAAATTAAATTCCAACTAGACTAGAATAATTTGTTTTGATCTGATTAGTCGGCTTTTAATCAATGTGCTTAAAAATTCTAGTTGTTTCTTTTGTTTGTTGAAGCGTTTAAATATTAGTGCTGTAAACATTGTGATGCCACCAGATTACTAATCAGTACAAGACAATGTAGATTGTTGTTAAACAATAGCGGGCTAGATGAAAAATGGAAGAGAACATATGAAAAAAGAAAATCAAACATAATAGTTTGGGAGACAATATGTACACATGTAAATATGTATGTATCTTTCCTCTAAGTATTTCCTCTTAGTATTTCCACTTAGTACTTCCTCTTAGTATTTCCTCTTAGTATTTCCTCAAAGTCTCTTCTCAAAGTCTCTAATGCTTAGCTGACCGCTCGTTACATATTCACACACACGCACATGACTTTACTTTACTTCACTGCACGACTGACCTCCACCAGGCCTGGAAGACTGAAGAAATGCTGCAGCTGCTGCCCTTTATATAGGGTCACTTTCACTCAGACACAAAGTTGCGCTCAATTGTTAGGCACGGCGCCAGGTAGAGATCGTGCAGTCGAACTTGATGTAACCAATGAGAGCACTCTCTGCTGCTGCAAGCATTCTAGCTTCGTTTTACTCAAATACAAATACCAAATTAATACTGCTGCATACATATATACAAGTTAAATGAAATAGGCTAAGCTGGAACGGGACTGAATTAAAGGTACGCTCAGATCCGAGGTAATAATATGATTGTAATAATATGTTAACATTCATATAAATTCGGTTGGTATTATTTATTTATTATTTTCATGAGTTTACAAATATATTTATATTTCAAATACATATATTATAGACTTTTCTCTTTTACATTCAGACATGCCTGGCATGCCTATGAGTCCAAGTTCTTCTCTTTCAACTAAAGGTTCGTTCTTTTCGCCTTTTAAAACATAATCATACAACAGTTAAACACACGCACAGGTACAACAATCATAACATTGCGACAGGTTGAGCACGAAGCGTTGTTGCCGGCTAAACGTCATTCAACTGAGCGCATCTGAGTTGACCGACTGCCTGACTCATTGATTAAGCTGTGAGCTGTGAGTGTGTGAAGGCTGTCGTCGGTTTGGCATTTAAGAGATTACGAGCAATTACAGCTTTACAGCTTCCGTTTTTTTTTTTTCTGTTGGACCACTTGGTTCAGTGAGAAATAGATTACGCATACGCCGCATAGTCCAATTATCAGACACGACTTTCTATGCCTTGTCGAGCAAATAAACCAAAGCTAACAAATCGTATTATACAAAACAGACGTCACCTAGAAGCAAACGTGCGCCGCACACTGATAAGCGCTAGCCATATAACCATATAGCGTCTATATATGTATGTAGCGCATGTATTTGCACGGTAGTCGGATCCCTAATTGTGGCACACTTGAGTGCGGCCAAAAATAGCGATAAAAGCCCCGTTTAGGACAACAGTGGACAACGGTGTTTCCATGTAACGGTCACTGGTTTAATTTTAGCAAGCACTCGAGCCCAGTTCTGATTATCTGTGAACGAACGGGTGCAATATGTGAATTTTGATTTCATTTAATTTGGTGTCTTCGTCACGTCTATTTATGGTATTTACCCATTCTATCTGGGCCGTTGGCTATTTTTATTATTACTATTTACCTGGCATACAAGTACTTTTTAATTAAGAAAATATTTATAACTTTTTGCCTTTGGCTTTGGCTTTGTTTTTGTTATTATTTTGTTATTTTTGTTCTCGTTCTTTCCGCTTTGCTTGCCCAGTTAAGCGGCATCAAATACAAGTAACTGTCGTTGTCATCCTCCTCATCGCTGACAGGCAGCAGATAAAAATTTACTACTTGCAAGTCAGCGCCCGCCCCCCCGTCGGGCGCACCCAAGCAGTTAGTTGTGCTGTGAGTCATGCTATGGCAAAGATAATGTCTAGATCTTGGTACAGCATCAGCTCTACGGTCATGGCTGGGGCGGCAAAAGTACAAAGCGACGCTACGAATCGAATTAAATCACGTGTTAAGACGTAACGCAACAATTCCATTAAATTAATTTGTAAATAATTAAATTTGTTTCGGTAAGCACAAATTGCCAATATTTGCCATATTCGGCGACCCATAAAATATAAAGCCAACAACAGTAACCACATTACGTATCGAGAAAAGCAAATAAATAAATGCTTAACCTCTAAATTGGAGAAAACACGCATACGCCATGTTGTGCCGCCCCCACCCAAAGCGCAGAGACAACAAGCAACACCTCAGAGACCCACAACGATCTTGAGGCCGTAAGGAGAGTAAATGTTGTATGAGAGTACACACACCTACACGCACACACACATACGCACACACGCATACACACTCCGGCAGTGATAAGAGAATTTCTTTTTGACATTGCGCATGACGACACAAGAAAGCGTCTGATATTTAAATATATATGTGTATATATTTAAGTGAAAAATATATATATATATTGTGTTTATTTACCTACGAGCGAACAATAATTAAAAATGCTTTCTTGTTTAGTTTAATTAAAGTTTTGATAAAGCAACAAAAATAAATAAATAATAAAAATATCCAGTTCACTCGGTCAATAAGCAAATTGACGTAGATTCAAAGTACAATATGCATACTAAATTGCTCAAAATAATTGAATATCTGTAGGAAATTGAAAGCAAAGCGGAACTCTTTGATTGTGAGTGTGATTATGCTTTATAGCGACGCCTCTGCTGCAACTGACTAACTAAAATATTTGTTAAAAACGCGTCCCAAACACATTTTATCTAACTGCTTGTGTTAGATTGTGTCTACCGTTCAGTTGGCTTAAGCGCTTAGGTTTACGATGTGGCCTAAGATGCTTCTGCTTTTATTTTAATGAAAAAAATAAAAAGCCTTTTTTTTCTGGCTATTTTGCCATATTTAAATTAATGTTATCTAATTGACGTGCGTCTTGTTGCGAAAAAATATGTATGCAGGTATGTATTCATAGGAAGCGCAGCTATAAAAGAGTGTGAGTATTTGTAGGCTCAAGAGTGGGTAAAATGAGCTGAAAGACAAGCTTAAAGTGAAGAGAATTAGAGAAGTGAGTTAAGCCTTAGCCTCGGCAGATCAATTTTGTCCTAACGCTCAGTCTTAATGTTAGCTCCCGTAAAGCTCTCTCTCTATGTGTAACTGGATTAGTTCACGCTCTCAAGGAGTAGTTAAACTTAGACTAAGGAAAATTGCTGCGTGGTTCTTAATATTACTCTTAGCTATCGCAAAACCTCTTATACTTTTACCTTCTTCTTCATCCATGCACTTAGACTACAATATTTGATATTTAGACAAATAATATTTGATATTTGAGGCTCAACATAATTTTTTAGTTTCTGGAAAGTTCTTCCAACTTTTTGTTTATCTCGTAATTAGACTGGATTATCTTGTTTAGTGTTAATATGAACTCAATTTCAAACGAATCCCTAAACAGTGAGTAAATAAAACCCAGCCAAATGCCACAGCTTAGTATTAGTTTATGTCTATTGCTTCCATTTAACGTACGCCCAAGTCTGACCTGGCAATTGATGTCCGCCTATAAATAGAACCATAAATTAAACTTGAAGCATCATTGACTAGATAAACCAAGACGACTGGCAATTATAATTTGGCTTGGCAGCCCTTTAGCTGCTGCATATCTAGCTACCTCATCAGAGCTAAAGTTTGTCTGCCATTTAATTAAAATTCAATTTATAATTCGCTCAAGATATTGCCATTTGAGTATTCAATGTCTAGGCAAAACTAAAAAAAAAAAAGAAAAAAATACAAATCAATTAAACAAACAGCTCACAGCCACAAGACGCGATCTTGATCCGGGCTTTCAGCTACTGTCGCATCCAAATGCAAAAGTTATTAACTCACTCTGGTTTTTGTTATTGGCCATTTGTGATATTCAATTATTGTCACACATATTTCTATGTCACGTCGCGGATCGTAATTTCGTTGCTGTTGTTGCTTATTGATTTGCCCATACAATAGCGTTATGAGGGCGACCTTTAAGCATAAGCCAGCTGGCAGCATCGTAAACAAAAAAGTTTGTTCAACCAATCAAAAAAATCGCATAATCGATGATTGTTCTTCAACAATTGATAAGACTTAAACAGTCTACAAAAGTTTATTGAACTGCAACAACAAGTTATATAATTAATTTATATGCTACGCTTCATAATTAATGTGATCAAATCATGTGCGATTCGTACAATTTGTTTAAGCAACAACAGCGTTGCGTGTGCCTTGGGCAAATATTACAAACTGAAGCAAGCTAATCGCTTAATTACAATTCGATGCGAAACACCTGAACACACACACGCAACACACACACGCAACACACACACACATATGCACTCAGTTTCTGCTTCAGTTCTACGATGTGTGTATGCTAATGCTGCATCTGTCCAAATGCAGCTTCAGTTTGCACATTTGCTAATTGTTGATGTGCATTAATTATAAAATATGTGTATTATTTATTTGCGTTGAGTAGAACGCATTTCCAAGATTTTGACCGGTTTTATTCAGCACAAATATCTCTATACATATACCTCTATATATTTATATACTTATGTAATGCTTCCGATATCTGTTGCTGTAGATATTATTATATGTGGTATTCTCAAGCAATACCCACTGAACAGATGATTAAGAAGCGTGCTAATGTCAAGCAAATGGAATGTGGGGCAGGCATTAGCTTAAATTTACATATATATTACTTTCTTATACTCTTCGAAGAGAGCTGACTTATAGCTGCTTCGGCAGATTGAGTCATTCAATTAGCTCTTAAAGTACCTGAAGTAATGTGAGTAGCATAAGAGTTGATCAACTGCAAGTCGTACGCTCTTCAGCTCATTTAACAGCTATGTTTATATTAGTTATACTCGAGTTCTAGGGTAACTATGCGTCGTTTATCTCTCTAGCTGTGGCTTGGGCTGCTGATGCTGCGGCCAGTTTATAAGTGAGACGATCTCTAGCGACCCTGCGTTGTTGCCTTTACGCTGTTCGACAGCTAACAACGTAGCACACCGGGAATACCTTCAGACGCCGACAAAAGCGAGAGTCAAGCTATTGTTGTTTCTGTTGTTGTTATCTTTTGCTGCTATTGCTGTTGTTGTTGTTAGTGGCTGGCTGGCTGGCTGACTGACTGACTGTGTTATCAGCAAACCGAACACACAATACTTTTGGGCAACTGCGGCAAGTTACAATCAAATTTCGCTAGCTTCCAGCTCAGCTGCTGCTCAACTGTTCAACTGCTCACCTGCTCGGCTTCTCGGCTGCTCTGCCGCTCTGCCGCTCTGCCGCTCTGCCGCGCTGCTGCTCTATCGCTTTGCCGCTCAACTGTATCAGGCACTCAGCTGCTGAGCGCTCGGCTCAGTGCTTTGTGAGTGTTCGACGCCGACGCCGACAAAAAACGACGGCAGCAGAGGCAGCGCAACGCAGCGCAGCGCAATCAGGTATTTCTGCGAGGCGCAAACGCGACGTGAGATCAAAGCGCCAACGACTAGCAACAGGTCCACGTCCTCGCCAATAGAACATAAACCAAAGAAAAAGCAAATTATTTAAATCAATTAAGCCTATGAAATAAATAACATTAAAAACAAAAACACATTCGCAATTCGATTGATTGGAAGTGAATGCTGTAGCGAAGCGAGGATAAAAGATCGTGTGCCGAGGTGACAAAACAAATTGTTCAAGTGTTTCACAAAAATATATCAAAACATGAGCATTATGCAAATCGAATAATTAAAACAGAAGTGCTGCAAAATCAACAAAATAACGAAAAATAAAAAACATATAGAATTGCTAGAAAATGAAGCAAGAGCTGATAAAATTATTGTTCATAGCATTTGTGTGCGGCAATGTACAAACGATTTTTGGGTAAGTAAATTTAATTGAATTCTCGCCAGATAGGAAATATCCGTTAAATAAATTCTAGATATTTGGCATATATATACAGATATTTGTCATATTTCCGCTCTCTTTAGTCAGCCGAGAAGGAATGCTGATAGTAATTTTAATTTCTTACCGAATTTACAAATAGAGTCTGCAAATTGCTGCCAAAGAGCAAAACAATGCAGGCTGATAAAACTAAATAGCATTGATATGTTTCCAATTGACAGATACAACCAATTTATACGGCGATTCGGCCAAAAATAGCTAAATGATATTTGGGCTTCTTTGTGCTCTTTGTTTCCACTTCGTTTTGCTTTATTTTGGGTTACTATCCTAGCTCTTTGTTTTGCTTTGTATATTTGGAGTTTGTTTTTTTGTTGTTTTATCTAAAGTGAAAATTTCCACATTTGCCTTAACTTTTCTATATAAAAAATGTAAAATGTTGACATTTTCAGTTACACAACTGATAAAACTGATAAGCAATAAGAAATTGCTGCAGTTTTTCTTTTTTCTTTTTCTGTTTCTTGTTGTTGTTGTAAAGAACATGTTTCCTTATGCTGTAAGTTGATAAAGACAAAAAGATTGCCCGGGAATACCAGACGGTTATCAAATTTAATATCAAAATTATTTACATAGAAGATGTTTCAACTGCTTGATAGCTAAAGTAAATAATATAATGATTTACATATGAATACTTATATAGTTTTTTAATATATTAAGTAACATTGCGTTTGGGAAGTGCCCCATAAATATGCCGTTATTTATATATACCGCCGACGCCATTAAACAAATATTTGCATAATTTGAAGGTGCAAAAATATGGAGAGAGAGAAAATACAAAAAATGATTACGTTTCGCCACAGTTTTTTTGTTTTTTCTATTTTATAATTAATTCAAGCCTTCTTTCGGTGCTCAGCTATGGAAGGTTAGAGAACTAATGGAAAATTATTATCTGGCATTAAATGCAATGTCAATAGGTAAATATTTGAAAACAAACCAGAAATAAACAAGCTACCGTAGTTTATTTATGGATTTTCTTGCTAGGGATCAGGCCAAGTGCAGTAATTGAATTGGAATTGGTATGATTGTGTAAAAACAACAGCAACAGCAACGACAATAATAATACAATAAGCAGGTTATACAATAAAATAAAAAATATTAGTTTTAATGGCAAGCAAACACCTCACAGACTTGGCTCCAAATGAGCTTGAACAGCTGCTCAGTGGCTGCGCCCCGCTGCCCCGTTCAACTAAATGGGCTAATGGCCAATAAGAACTCACACTTGGCATTATACAGAACTGTACTTAAATATCGCTTATGTGTATACCTTCCGAATCAACTAAAATTTAAATATTTTTCTTTGGAGAAATCTTCTTGCTTCGGAGTTAATTGCAAACAGTTGCAATTTAATATAAATTAACTGCCTGAATGGCAAAGCTGATAAAAACAAAAAGTCAACATAAAAACACATCAAACTTTAATAAATAAATCAAATTGATGTTGAAGACGCCTCGAATTTGAGCAAAAAAAAATTGCATAAATCTAAACAGTTAAGTCGAAGATTTATGTGACTCAGAAGCCGCTTTGAACAAATGCAAATGAAACATATGTATTTTAAATATTAAAACAACAAAAATAATATTTATTTGTGATTATTTTGCGTAAATTACGCATATGAAGTGTTGGCAGAAGAGGATTCATATTTGTTGTAACAAATGGTTTTTCTACTTACATTTGTAAAGTTGTTTTAGAAATACAGAATCAGAAAGAGGAAGAGAAGAAAAGTTTATATAATCAAACTTAGCTCTAGCTTACATTTCTTATACGCCTTGTCCGTCGTCAAGTATGCAAATCAAATCGATTTATAAATTATATTTATATTTTTTAAATTAAAAATATAATATATAAACTCAAGTGTGAATATATTAACACAAATAAGTAAATATATATACAAATGAAACGCAGCTAATGACCAAGCCTTACGCTATTAGCTTAAATTACTCATACGCCGCATTAGCAACGACTCGGCTAGTTCATTTACCTTTGTGTTTATCTTTTTAGCGCCACCAACGTTAGCACGGTGGACGAGAACTGTCCATCGCTGGCCAATGCGGACAGCCTACAGTATACCGAGCTGATCCAGAGAATGACGCACGTCTGCCGCTACGATCGCTTGGAGCGGCCCATAGGCAAGTGTCATTTGCATTGGCTCAAGTGAATTTCGATTTATAATTGTTTTTTGTTTTTCCATTGCAGAATACGACCAGATAACGTCCAAGCGTCTGCCCATTGTGGTCAAGCTGCGCATCTATGTGTACTTGCTGCAGAATCTCAATTCGGATCTGCTGCAGTTCAAGATGCACGCGCTGCTGCAGCTGAGCTTCCAGGACAAGCGTCTCGCCTACAAGGAGTTTGCGCCAGAGCGACGGGAAACGATCTTGGGCCAGAAGCATTTGAGCGAACGACTCTGGCTGCCGCACATATTCTTTGCCAACGAACGAGAGTCCAGCATATTGGGCACCGACGAGAAGGATGTGCTGACGTCCATATCAAGGGATGGCAACGTGATTATCTCGACGCGCATTCAAGCCTCGCTCTACTGCTGGATGAACTTCAAGAAGTTTCCATTCGATCAGCAATACTGTTCCACGGTGCTGGAGAGCTGTAAGTTGAAGAAGTTCTTCTATTGGAAATCTTCTATTGGATAAATATTTATTATTCTCATTTCTTCTAGGGATGTACAACACTTCTGATTTAATTCTGGAGTGGGAGGATCGTGCTCCTATATCCTTCGATCCCGATATGCGACTCACTGAGTACAATCTGGGTCAGTATTGGCATAACACCTCAGTTGTGCTCTCCGACGAGGTCAATATGCGACATGGAGCCTTCCGTAAGTCTAGAGACAGTCAGCCGTAAAGAGAATCGCTTAAATAACTTCGTTTTTCTTCTAGAGGGCAACTATAGCTCGCTTAGCTACACAGTTAATTTGCAGCGTGAGATTGGCTTCTATCTGCTGGACTACTATCTGCCCTCCATGATGATTGTGGCCATCTCATGGGTGTCCTTCTGGCTGCAAGCTGATGCATCACCGCCCCGTATTATGCTGGGTAAGTCACGCACTTCAAATTGAATACTATCGCAATACTCACGTATGACGTTCGCTCTTCAGGCACCAGCACCATGTTGTCGTTCATCACGTTGTCCTCGTCGCAGAGCAAAACCTTGCCAAAGGTCAGCTATATAAAGGTATCGGAGGTGTGGTTCATTGGCTGCACCTTCTTCATCTTCGGCAGCCTGGTGGAGTTCGCCTTTGTGAATACGATATGGCGACGCAAGGAGAATATTGAGCTGAAGAAAGTGAATAGTAAATACATTATAAAATCCACATTAACGCCACGCCCCGCACGGCGCCAAATGGGCGGCGGCTTAAGCAATGAGTCAAGAGCGCGCTCCTGCTCCAGCTTAGACAACATTGTATCCAGCACGGAGAGCGTGCGCAATGGCAATGGCACAGTGAATCCTGGCTTCAATAACTATCTCACAGTTCACGTAAGTCAATGAGGAGTGTGTCCGAATAGTCGAGATATTTATATAATCCTTTGATTACAGCCTAATCTGCCCATTATACGCACCGAATGCGCTGATACGCTTTCCGTGTGCAGCGCGCGCTCCAACCATGATCATATTGTGGAAATTGAAAATGACAAAGAGAAGGAGAAGGATTCGGCCACATTTACAACCATGACGCCGCAAGAGATTGCCATGTGGATCGATAGGCGCTCGCGTCTGTTATTCCCAGGCCTGTTTCTGGCTTTCAACGCGCTCTATTGGCTTTTCGTGTATTGTTTTTAAGCGCTCACACACCCATACACAATAATATATATATACATGTGACATATAAGCACACGCACACATTAGTTGCCATACATGTGAATTCATATACGCTCTTAATAATTATGTTTACTTTTAAATTAGTCGTAAGCTGAATCATCTCATAGTCATAGTTGTACAAATATCGCCCAAATCGTAAAAAGACAATCAATAAACATACACATTAATAGAATAAGAAAAGAAGAAGAAGAAAACTCGGTTTCACTATTCAAATATGGCGCTTCGGCGAAAAGTGTGACCGCAGAAGCTTACCAGGCTAAGCTTTAAGTTTAAATGCCGTAAAGCTTGGAGCTGTAAGCTAACATGATTTCTATGACACAGCAGTAGATGGCGTAGCGGATGCTGCGCACGACAGCCGATAGGTGGCGCAATCTGCATGCTCATAATAAATCTAACGAACTACAATTAAAATAATTACTACGAGTATTAGTAACAATTTATGTCTAATTGAGCATAGTTGTGTGATTTAGTTAATTACTTTCATGTGTGGGGGAAAGTTAATCAGCCTCATTAATTCGCATATTCATTAATTAGTCGATGCTAATCGCTTGAAACAACTTCAACTACAACGCTTGGCGCTCATATCCGTTGCACTCAAATTTCCTGCTCGAGTTTGCTTCACTGCATCCAATAAGCGACTCCCGTCTCCGCTTGCTCACATGAATTGGTATATCCTCAAGCTCAATGCATTTAGCACTTTCATTTCCCTAAATATAATCAAAATATGCAAATGCAATTAGGCGAACATTTAACATTTACAAAGGCGTGTTAATGCTTAATATATATATATATATATATATATATATATATATATATATA